GCATGGGGTTGTTCTTAATGGGGTATCGAGAACAGACCCATACAGAAGGGGCACTGCAAAGAACATCATTATCAGTGCTTATACTCCCGTTAGAATCCCGCTGATTTGTCCTTTGCCCCGATCCTGCACATCTCTGCAGGCTATACCAATTGAGAAGTGGCTTGGGATTCAGGCTTCTTACGAACCGCTGCGAGAAGAGAAACCAGCCTGACAACAAATCAGGCATGGAACACTCACCGTAGCGACGTTTCCAACCAGGTTGGTCACGGGCTGTAAGAGAAATGAAGGAAGTTACTTGATTCTGCTGTTTCTCCAGTATCGTTTATATATTCCTACGTCCCTCCCAATCTGTGTAGTTTAGCTACAGCTAGTCAAATCTTGGAGCCTTGTCAGCGCAGCTATCCTGGCAAAGTGCCAGAACAATTCTATAGGGCACACGTGAGTGCAAAAAGCTCTGTAACGAGCTGCTCTTTTTTTTCAAAGCTAGGATTAACTGCCGGGGTTTGAGGCAATTTATGTGCTGAAAAAATTAGAATGAAGCTTGGTTTAGTGTTTCCAAACAAACCATTTGAAAAGATTTCTATTTTTCCCGTTTTCTCCTTTTAGTATGAAAAAGAAAAATTGAGAGAGGTTCGCAATTTTCTCATCTAGGATTCCAACCATCTTTCCTAGATTGCCATACCTTTTCCCCTTTTACAATAGCTCTTTGAGAAAGTAGTGTTTTGGTCCGTTTCCCTGTGAAATGTGCAGGGGCTTTTACACGTTCCAAAATGTTTTAAACTGTTTCCTTTATGAAAACTGGAACGTTCCCGTCCCCCTTGACTTTCTCACATAAAGAAGGCGTTAGAGTGGGGTGGAGGAGGGTGGGATGAAAAAGACGTGGAGGATGAAGAGCCAGAACGTTCCCCATGCTTCGGTTTAGTTCTTTTTGATGCAAGATTAGAAAAATTGGAAGACGACTTTGAATGCTCACACCAAGAGTGCTTTCAGCCGTGTCCTCAAGAGGGTGTTAAAGAAAACAAAAATCTCACAATGACACTACTCTATTTCACAGAGAGCGGAAATGTGAAAGAAGTATTAGAGTGGTCATTGCCCCTCTCTGTGTCTCTCCTTTTTCTCCCCACCTTCCTTCAGTAGGCTGAGCAGTCACACTTTAGTATACCAGAATCAAAGGATCACAGAACTAGAAGTGACCTTCAGAGCTCATGTTGTCCAGGCCCATGCGCTCCTGCAAGGGCCAATCGCCATCCAAATTAGAAGTTTGCAAACTCTGAGTTGCTCCAGGTCAGGACAAACCGCTGATACCTCGCGAGACCCTTGGTTTACCTGTTCAGGTATGGGCGATCGTTGCTCCCGCTGACCACAAATCACCGTTCCTCGCCAATGGGAGCGGTGGAATGCGGTGTCCCGGTCAGCACCGTCTCCTGCAATTACCATGGGCAGCAACGGAGATCCGTGGCCAACTGGAGCCGCGAGCGCCCGTAACTGCGTAGGTGCAGGTAAAGAAAGTGTTTGATGGCCAACCACAGGCCTGTCCTTGCAAGCCATGACCCGGACTTAGAAAACTTTTCATCTAGACAATCCTTAAGAGATGTTTGTCTATCCTGCTCACGTCTAATCCTAATGCAGTGGAGACCGTGTGTCTCAGGTCCAAGGTGGTACTGTAATATGCATTGCAACATTGCAGTGAACCGCACGACCCAATGTGTATGACGTCAGCGTGGAGTTGTTCTTAATATGGTATCAAGAACAGACCGCTGCAGAATCTCAACAAGAGAAGGAGCACTGCAAAGAACATCATTATCAGTGCTGATACTCCCGTTAGAAGTTAGAATCCCGCTGAATATGTCCCTTGCCTCGATCCTGCACATCTCTGCAGGCTTTACCAATTGAGAACTGGCTTGGGATTTGGGCTTCTTAAGAACCGCTGCGAGAAGAGAAACCAGCCCGACAGCAAATCAGGTATGGATCACTCACCGGAATGACGGTTACACCTACGTTGCTTACGGGGGTCTGTAAGAAAATGAATGAAGTTACTTGATCATGACCTTTCTTCCGTATCGTTTATATATTTCTATTTCCCTCCCAATGTCCGTAGTTTAGCTACAGCAAGTCAAAACTTGGAGCCTTGTCAGCGCAGCTCTCGGGGCACTGTGCCAGAACAGTTCTATAGGGCACACGTGACTGCAGACAGCTCTGTAACGGGCTGCTCTTCTTTTTCAATGCTAGGATTAATTGCTGGCGTTTGAGGCAATTTATGTGTTGCAAAAATTAGAATGAGGCTTGGTTGAGTGTTTCCAAAGAATGCATTTGAAAAGATGTCTCTTTTTCCCTTTTTTTTCCCTTTTTGTGTGAAAATCAAAACTGAGAGAGGTTTGTAATTTTCTCATCTAGGATTCCAACCGTCTTTCCTAGATTGCCATACCTTTTCCCCTTAACATGCGCTCTTTGAAAAAGTAGTGGTTCGGTCCATTTCCATGCAAAATATTGATGGGCTTCTACACTTTCCAAAATGTTCTAAACTCTTTCCTTTTTTGAAAACTGGAACATTTCCACCTCCTTGACTTTCTCACGGAAAAAAGGGGGTTAGAGCGGGGTGGAGGAGGGTGGGATGAAAAAGACGTGGAGGATGAAGAGCCAGAACGTTCCCCATGCTTCAGTTTAGTAATTTTTGATGCAAGATTAAAAAAATTGGAAGGCCGCTTTGAATACTCACACCAAGAGTGCGTTCAGCAGTGTCCTCAAGAGGGTGTTAAAGAAAAGAAAAATCTCACAATGACACGACTCTATTTCACAGAGAGTGGAAATGTGAAAGATTTATGTATTAGAGTGGTCATTGCCCCTCCCTCTGTCTCTCCTTTTTCTCTCTGTCTTCCTTTAGTAGGCTCATCCGTAACACTCACCGGAACGACGGTTTCACCTAGGTTTTTCACGGTGGTCTGTAAGAAAAATTAAGAAAGTTATTTGATCCTTACCTTTCTCCCTCACCCTTGATATATTGCTACTTCCCTCCCAATGTCCGTAGTGTAGCTCCATCAAGTCAAAGCTTGGAGCTTTGTCAGCATAGATCTCCCGGCACTTTGCCAGAGCAATTCAATGGGGCACACGTGACTTCAGACTGCTCTATAACGGGCTGCTCTTCTTTTTCAAAGCTAGAATTAATTGCCAGTATTTGAGGCATTTTATGTGTTACAAATTAGAATGAGGATCACAGAACTAGAAGTGACTTTCAGAGCTCATGATGTCCAGGCCCATGCTCTCTTGCAGGGGCCAAGTGCCAGCCAGATTAGACATTTTCTAACTCCGAGTTGTTGCAGGTCAGGACAAGCCGCTGATAGGCCGTGAGACCCCATTCTGGTGCACCATGAGGTAAGAAGCTTACAGAGGGAAAAGCAGTTTTGCTGCTATCATTGTCTACATGAGAGGCTTCTGTCAGCTCAGCCAAGTGAGTGTGGGACCAAACACCTTTGCACCCCAGACTGGCATCGCTACAGCATGAGAAATCTGCAGGATAGACAAGACTGCAGAGTCTACATTCCCATTGCTCTTCTTTGTCAGGACTGTTGTTGACCTCCCAATAATGGCAGTTTCTTTGCTACTGAGGACAAATAGAGCTTGTGGAAATATTTCCCTGAATGTGACCTTTCTTAGCCATCCAGTTGATTTCCACGGTCCCTTCTAGTGAAATATCTCCTAGATGGCTGCTTGCATGCTTCACTGGTGCCATGCTAGGAATGTTTTTGTCAAGTGGGACAAATTTTATTGCAGTGTATATTGCCACTACAGGAGACCCTGGTGATTCGTGAGTTCCTCGTGGCTGCCCAGAAGCAGAGATCTCACCACAAATGTGAGGAGCCACAGTGAGTTCTTTCCCAACTCCAGCAGCTGCAGTGAGTTTTCTGGAGCTGCCAGGAACCAAAGTGAGTTTCCCACAGCTGCCAAGAGCCATGGTGAGTTCCCT